AGCCGTGAAAACGTTGTACCTCTCCAAAACCACCACAAACGTACATTTACCATACGTTCCATCAACTTACAAATGCATGGTGTCAGTGAGATAGGGCGATAGTCGGCAGGGCCAGCCCCATTCTTACCAGGCTTCAGCATGGGGGCAATGTATGACTCACGCCAAGACTCCGTAAAACCTCCATTCGCCCAGAGTTTGTTGTACGTTGTTAAGAGGGCCTCAACTACTGAAGTGGGGAGTTGCTTAAGCATGGCGTTGTGAACTAGATCCGGACCCTCTGCCACGTCGCGCAGCGATCCGATCGCGGAAATTAGTCCGGCCATTGTAAAAGGTAAGTTGTACGACATCTGCTCCGTCGTGCTGAAGTCGACAGGGGATGCCTCGCAGCGGATCCGGTGACGTATGAACTGTGGGACGACATTGCTGTCACCGCACCGTTCGGAGAATGCGCGGGCGATTTCATTTTTTTTTTAAAGATTTGATCCGAACCCTTTGAATGGATGGATTTCCGGGATCAGAGCTCACGCTAAGCAGTGCTTGTTGTGTGAGCCCTGACCCCTACCATCCGATCGCGCAATTCCAGGCAACGGCAGAATTTGGTGGCGAAAGCTTTACGTGCCGCAATGCTCAGCATGGTCCGTCCTGCCCTCTGACATCAACTGATCTTTAGCGCGACCGCTGCCACCGGCCGCAGGCCATACCTGTCAAGGGCAAATAGCGAGCGCCCTAAAGCGACTCGAACCCACCCCGCCACGGGCGGGTGCATCGGAAGGCAGGCGCTCTAACCAACTGAGCCACCGGGACGGACATTTGCTGCGTCAGCTGGGTGTATAATGTCACGTTCATTAATACAGAGCACAGGGTGTGGTACAGACGAGTGCTGTCGCTCAATGCGTTTGATCCGTGACCATACATTGGATGCAGGTGTTTGGCAGTTTAGTTGGCCGACGTACGATCGCCACGATGCCCGCTTAGCTTCTAGAATGGTGCGTCTAGCAGCCGCTCGTGCCCGTCGAAATGCAATTAGGTTCTCAGTCGTGCTCCGACGGTCAAACTTCCCAAAGGCCCTCTTACACGCACAGATGGCGTCCCGGCACTGCTGCGTCCACCATGAGACCGGAGGACGACGATGGCAGCCTGACGTTCGCGGTAAGCACCTTTCTGCAGACCGCAAAATCAACAAGGTCAAATCTTCTACCGACGGGGGTTCACTCGCTGGTTAAAATAGTAAGGGAATGCTCGTCCTCGCTTGAAACTCAATCCAGCTGGCTTTCTAAAATTCCAGCGCTGTGGTCGAGAACCAAGGAAAACGTCAACCGGTACTTGATCCAGATGGGGAAGTGGTCACTTCCCATTGATCGTCGGCACCAATCAGTCAAAATGCTGATCAGTTGTGGCTCAAAAGACTTAAGTCGATTGCCGATGCCTGCCCCGATGGGAGTGTAAAATGGGTACGGTGCCCGTGTTTACAGAGGCACAGCGAATTTTTAATATATGAGGGCTTCGCAGCGTTTCACGCGGGTGTTTATGTTGACACAACCCCCACGCTGAGTGGCGAGAATTAAAATCACCTAATATCAGGATAGGCGGCGGAAGCTGAGCCACCAGGTTTATCAAATGAACGGACGGAAACCCGGTCCCGGAGGAAAGTAGATTGAGCATATGGTGATCCTATGACAGTTTAACAACACTTTGACTGCGATAGCTTGAAACTCAGTGTTTAAAGTCAGCCTTGTGCAGACATGCTGTGGTGCAAGGCGAGGAGAACGCCACCATGCGCAACAGGGTCAGGTGGTAAGTCTCGCCGCCAACCAGCATAACCGAAAGACCAAAAACGCTGTCAGGTGCCAGTTTTGTCTCCTGGAGGCCTATCACCACCGGACGCCGCTCGTAACGCATAGTTGGAGATCCTGGTAGCTTGTTCGACGCCCCTGCAGTTCCACTGTAAAACGTTCGTCATGGAGCTAAGAGGTTAAAACGGTCCTTAGCTTCCTATCACTCCGCGGCATCGACGCCTACCGGAAGGGGGGGGGGGGGGGGCATGTGTTTGGGTTGTTTAGGCTAGGGGTAGGTTAGATCCTTGCTTGCTAACCGTGGTTAGTACCGATTCGTGCTAAAACTGGCGGGGCTTAGGATGCATAGATACTAAACAACACGGCCCGGTAATCCAAGGCTGAACAGAGGAAATGAGGCTATCTGGAGGTGAACGTCGTGAATTTCTTTTCGTTCTATGGGAGTGGAAAACCTTCACAACTTTGGCGTCCCAATTCTCACTTGACTGCGAGTTGCTTCAAGGGCGCAGTCGGTCGGTTGGTGGTCAAGGAGGAGCGTGAGCAAGCGTTTAACGGAATGTTCCACATTTGAAGATTTTGAGATAAGCATCGGATATGATGCCAAAGGTTTACTTGTAACTATTGGGAAACTTTCAAGGTTCAAAAACGACCCTAAGTAGCATAATTTGAAGTTTAAAAATGCGTCCCATTACGTCATTCTTTGATGGCGTCATGGATTCGTTGTGTGACGACAGCAACATCTGTTTCCGTGCGGTATCCACACCTCAGGAACATCTCTAAATGCACGCAAGCTGATGCCAGCCGCCGTTTTCGTGGTAACAGCTGCGTCGGCTGCGTCTGGTGCGGGGTAAGTGGGCGGTGTTCAGATTGTCTTGTTCCTGGGCGAAGGAAAAGTTTGGTGAACTGTTTGACATGCGCGACGTAACAATCGCCAGTTTTTTGGGCAGTTAACATATATCAAACGCATGGTATGCTGCGAAAACCGTCAGATATTGTTATGAATCCCATACCGAAACTTGTCGATGAATGTCGTGTATCGTAATGCCGGATTTTTGACCTATGTTTGCCTGCTGTGCGTAGTCCTTG